CATTTATCAAACATCTTTCTAACTCTTCAATCACCTCATCATCATCAACCGCACCCTCATATTTCCGAGCAATTTTGGACAGGTCGGAACACTTGTTAACTAACTCCAATATCCAACCTGGCACATCCTTTTCGTCCTCTAAGGTGGTTTTGGCAACAAAGTCCATGATCGGGTTAAACCTCATCGCTTTCGGTAGAATGAATAAGATCCTGTAGAAGCTATATGCCACCTTCTTCCTCATCTTCCGGTCTTTATCCAACTCTTTCAACGGCACTGCTGAAAAAACCTCAGTACAATCGGAAAGTGTCTGCGCCCCCAAGTATGCGTCCTCTCGTCCAATTTGACGCAGGAGCCATAATCCCTAGAAATATGGTCGATAAAAGTAGCGCCATTTACCTCCACAATATCAGTTCTCCCTTCTCTTAATAGAAGCCATTTTTCTTCATTTTCAACCTCTCCTTCTTTATTTTCAACTTGAATGATCTTGTTGACCCCTATCACATAAAGATCTGCATGTTTTATTTATATGAAAAACACATTCTCGCTTATTTTTGCAGTTTGTGGACGCGGAATGGCAAATCAATTCACAAATTTTTATCAACTCAACACTGCGGATTACCTTGGAGATGCCTATGTCGACCATATAAAGAGTTTTAGAAGAGCGTTAGGTGCCGAGTCAACGGTGTGTCAACAAAGGGGCTCACCAGAAAAGATACCCATGGTAAANCTCACCAGAAAAGATACCCATGGTAAACGCGCAATTAGGAATGACGGGACAACCGTTTTTCCGTATGAGGCTCATTCACGGTGAGTTGTCCGTTGATCTTGTGATAAAACATGCAGATCTTTATGTGATAGGGGTCAACAAGATCATTCAAGTTGAAAATAAAGAAGGAGAGGTTGAAAATGAAGAAAAATGGCTTCTATTAAGAGAATGGAGAACTGATATTGTGGAGGTAAACGGCGCTACTTTTATCGACCATATTTCTAGGGATTATGGCTCCTTGCGTCAAATTGGACGAGAGGACGCATACTTGGGGGAGCAGACACTTTCCGATTGTATTGAGGTTTTTTCAGCAGTGCCGTTGAAAGAGTTGGATAAAGACCGGAAGATGAGGAAGAAGGTGGCATATAGCTTCTACAGGATCTTATTCATTCTACCGGAAGTGATGAGGTTTAACCCGATCATGGACTTTGTTGCCAAGACCACCTTAGAGGACGAAAAGAAGGTGCCAGGTTGGATATTGGAGTTAGTTAACAAGTGGTCCGACCTGTCCAAAATTGCTCGGAAATATGAGGGTGCGGTTGATGATGATGAGGTGATTGAAGAGTTAGAAAGATGTTTGATAAATGAGATTGTACTTAAGGGCAACACGATTCGGCTACAAACTATGGGTCAGTTGCGAAGAGTTCTTGGGATGCTGACTTACGAGTCGGATGACGGTCCACCAGACTTGAAGAAAGGAAAGTCTCCTCAGAAAAAGAAGAACAAGTCCAAGGGCTAAAAAAAGTACCACCACCTCCGGCGCTGCCATCTTCTTCCGGCAGCAGCCGCCCACAGACGGCAGGATAAAAACTCGAATTGCACCATAGTTTAAT